GATATGTCTTCTTGGTTGTGTGTCCTTTTTATCATTATATAATGCCCCTCTTTGTCTCTCATTACCTGTTTTATCTTGAAGTCAACTTTGTCTGATATAAGTATGGCAACACCTGCTTCCTTTTGTTTGCTGTTAGCTTGGAATATTGTCTTCCATCCTTTCACTCTGAGCCCGCGTTTGTCTTTAGAGCTGAGATGTGTTTCCTGGACGCAGCATATTGTTGGGTCTTGTTTTTTAATCCATCCCACCACTCTGTGTCTTTTGATTGGAGAGTTCAGTCCATTTACATTTAGGGTAATTATTGATATAAGGGGGCTTGTTGTTATTTTATTGCTCTTTTTCCAGTTCTTTGGCATTTCTTCTGTTTCTCGTCCTGTGTGTTTAAGACTACCAATTTAGTTTGGTAGTTCTGTATGGGGATTCTCTTAGTTTTCTCTTTCTTTATCTTGTGTGACTCTGTCCTGATTATTTGGTTAGTGGTTACCATGAGGTTTGTATAAAAAATCTCGTGGATGTGATAGTCTAAGGGAATAAGAGGCCATCAAAAAATGGACTAAGTCAATTTGATCCCCTTCCTCTTCCCCTTCTATGTTATTGTTGTCACATCTTATTCCTTCTTGTGTTGTGAGTCCGTGTTTAACATGATGAGGTTATATTTATGTTTGGCGCTTACCTTCCCTTGATCTTTGGTTTTATAATTGTTTGTTAATCTATTTTGATAGAGGACTGCAATTTTTCTGGTTTTGTAGAACTATTTTCCTCCTTTTTCAAAACTTTGAATCCCCTTTCTCTTTTTTTCCTCAGGGATGAGGGCCTTCTTGAGCATTTCTTGTAGTGGGGGTCTTGTGGCAATGAAATCCCTTAGTTTTTGTTTATCTGGGATAGTTATTATTTCTCCATCATATCTGAAGGATATTTTTGCTGGATAGACTATTCTTGGCTGAAAGTTTTTGTCCTCCAGCATTTTGGATATATCATTCCACTCTCTCCTAGCCTGTAAAGTTTCTGTCGAGAAATTGGCTGAGAGCCTGATAGGAAATCCTCTGTATGTTATTTTTTTTTTGTCTAGCTGCCCTTAATATTTTTTCGTTGTTGTTGACTTTTGTCAGCTTTACTACTGTATGCCTTGGAGAGGGTCTTTTCGTGTTGATATATTTAGGAGATGTATTTATTTCATTCACTGGTATTTCCAGCTCCTTCCCCAGGTTTGGGAAGTTCTCAGCCATTATTTCTTTGAACAAGTTCTCTGCTCCTTTTTCCCTCTCTCCTCCCTCTGGAATACCTATAATCCTTATGTTGGATTTCCTAATTGAATCAGATATTTCTTGGAGAGTTTCTTCATTTCTTTTTAGTCTTAATTGTCTTTCCTCCTCCATCTGGAGCATTTCTGCATTGCTTTCCTCAATATTGCTAATTCTTTCCTCCATATTGCTAATTCTTTCCTCCATATTGTCAGCTCTGATGCTTAAGGCTTCCAGATTTGTCTTTATCTCCTCTATTGTGTTTTACATCTCTAAGATTTCTGATTGTTATTTTTTTAGAGTTTCAATCTCTTTTGTGAAGAAACTCCTGATTTCATTGAATAGTCTGTGTTTTCTTGTATTTCATTAAGCATTTTTAGGATGGCTATTTTGAATTCTCTGTCATTAAGGTTATAAATTTCTGTGCTTTCCAGGCTGACTTCTGGGTGCTTGTCATCTTCCTTTTGGTCTGGAGATTTAATATATTTTTGCATGGTGCCTGTCAGTGTTGGCTTACTTTTCCTCATAGTGAAAATATATGGTTGCAGTTTCCTCTTGCTGCTGCTGGGTGGGGGTCAAGGCTGTGTATTATGGCCCACCTCAATCCCTGGGCACTCTCGTCAGCCACTGGCTGATCTGAGGCCTGGCTGAGTGGAGGCTGCTGGGGGGAAGCATGGAAACAGCTGGAGCTGGAGTGCAGCTAGGCCAAAGCAGCTGGGGCTCGGGTGCAGGTGGGTTGAAGCAGCTGCAGCTGAAGTGCCGCTGGGCCAAAGAAGCCGGAACTGGAGTGTGCTGGACCAAAGAAGCTGGAACTGGAGTGCGCTGGGCTGAAGGAGGAGCTGGAGCACCGCTGGACCAAAGAAGCTGGAACTGGAGTGCGCTGGGCTGAAGAAGGAGGAGCTGGAGCACTGCTGGGCCAAAGAAGCTGGAACTGGAGTGTGCTGGGCCAAAGAAGCTGGAACTGGAGCACTGCTGGGCCAAAGAAGCTGGAACTGGGGTGCGCTGGGCTGAAGAAGGAGGAGCTGGAGCACTGCTGGGCCAAAGAAGCTGGAACT